CCCCCCCCCCCCCCCAAATTACTTGAAAAACAATATGAAGTTTTTACAAATAAAAAGAAAAAAAATCCACAAGCAATTTTTCTTTGATATTCCATGAGAATACTTCTCCATAGCAATGCCTATACAATAGTATGTTTGTGTTATCTGTGTCAGTTCATGCTCAAGAATCCAGACTCCAGATCATGAATGCCTATAACAATTTTGGCACAAGCATTATCTCTAACTTTTGTGTGCTGCACAGTACATTCAATCTATCTAACCTTTATTCGTCCACTGAAGATGAATTTTATTGGCAGTTGAACTTCACTAGTTTCAAGGTTATGCAGTTTTATTGCTAAAACAGAACAACCCTTTCTGTGAGCTACATGATATAGACAAGTGATTGCCGCAGATTTTAATGATTGTTACTAAAAAGATTATGATTCTAAAGAGTTCAGAGAAGCAAGTGGCAAGGACTACACCTTTGCTCGCCAAACTAAACCTCATTCACTTGTATAATAGGAACATTCGGTTACCATTCTTGCCTATGCTACAGACCAAATACTCCTATAATTGTCTTCAAAAACAAACCAAAAAATGCAAGATACTACATTAATAAGGTGTTATTCTAAGTGCATTACCAACTAGTTCAGCACAATTCAAAATGAACGAGTCTATAAAGAAAATAAACAATATATATGTGAGATTGCCCCAAAGGGATACCTCTATCCAATTAGAAGGAACACATAAGAGAAGAGCAAAATGATTAGGTTAAACGTGTTTAAATGGCTACCACATTGTATGAACACGCATACTCGTCATCTAGGTCCTGATAGAATTGAAACCATAGCTGGTTCTGAAACAAATGGTTTGGTTTCAACAGGAGATTGAGACAGGAACATAGTTAAGAAGCTACAATTAATAGGAAGTAAAAACATGATGATTTAATGGCTTCTGGTCTGCTACTATGTTTTCCACATCATTCGTGATGGATCAGGTAGAAAAGTGATGCTAATTGTATACCATCTTTTATTTCATTTGTGACTACAGGTCAAATTAAAACCAAATCCTTTATCTTGATAGGAGTGATCCCGTGGGACATAGATCCAATTTTTCAATTTTTTCGAATCCTTACTATTTGTTTCTGTATTTCTGGTGATAGCAAGATGCCACTATGCCAGCATATATAATCAGTCTCTCCAGGAAAATGGATATCTCCCAAAAATACTTTGTAAGCACAATTTGTTTCCTCCACAGGAAACAACCCGCCATCAACTAGACTGGAAACTTTATTTCTTCATCCTTTCTCTTTGCTATAATGATCAGATAGTCCCCTTGAGTAGAATGATCAATTGCCTGCAAAAAGAAACTTACAGGAATAAAACTCCAGGTCTATCAACATTATTTTGCAGAGTGTTTCTTTTACCCTAATCAATATGGGGTAAGGGAGAAGGTGGTAGAAATAATACATTGTTACTGAGCTTGATGGTGTGGTTTAGGGGCTACGCTGTTTGTAGCCTAAACGCATTGTTGATAACAAACACCATAAATGGTTGCAGTGATGACTTCAGAAAGGTGGCCCATTGAACTGCAGATGGAAGTAGCGGGATATAATGATCAATTATGTGGTGACTATAATTGGGTAATGGCTGCTCAAGAGCATGATGATGGTTGGACAGTGACTAATGGTTGGCAGCATTGTCTTCCATTAAGTTAAGGCTGACATAAAATGAAGAAGTTCCCTCTGACATCATAGAATCGGAGAGGTCACTCACAAAGGAAATTAGAACGGCAGTGCCTGGTAATTCTCTTTCAGTTAACTCAATAAGTTGATTGGTGAGCTACAACCTTGCAAATTTTGGAACTTCATGAAAGAATGCAATAGTGCAACCTACTTTATGACTTGTAAAGTCATTTGTTGTTCTCCTGTGGGTCCCAAATACGAACAAATTCCAGAACACCTAGCATGTGAGCAAGAGTGAAAGTATAGGCACAAATATGCATACCCGCGCATAAGCATAGAGATAATTGCACACGAACAACTTCGTTCGACTGAAAAAGCATAATTTTATGCCATTATCAGAGTATCAATAAACTCACTGTCATTTGACAGCTTATCTTTCTTGTACACCATGGATGTAACCATCATCCATGTATTAACTTCAATAGAATTTCCTTTTGCCAAACTATCCAAAACTTGCCACAACAACTTTATATCCCCTTCTTGAACCAAACCACTCACAAATTTGTTTATACTTGCAGCACGGGGAACATATCCCTTGAAAACCATCTCATCCAAAATAAATGCTGCCTCCTTGAACTTCGCCCCATCACAAAGCCCGTCAAAAAGTGTCCTGTAGGTTACAACATCTGGAACACACTTCCGGCTCGGCATGTCTTCAAACAACTCATTTGCTTCCCGCAATTTTCCCACCCTACAAAGCCCATGAATAATCACGTTATAACTTATAACATCCGGCTTACACCCTTTTTCCTCCATCTCATTCAAAACACCAAACGCCGAATCAAAATTCTTCTCATAACAAAACACATAAATCATGGCATTATAAGTCACCTTATCGGGTTCGCACCCATTTGTTCTCATTTCATCCAACAACCCATAAACCTCTCCTTTCCGGCCAACCTTTAGAAGTGCACTAATCACAGTAGAATAAACTGCCGAATCCAATTCAACTTTATATCTCAACATCTCCTCCTTAAGCTTCAAGGCGAAATCCACCTTATTAACCCTACAAAGACCTTTAATCAGAGAGACATAAAAAAAAGCATTAGGTCTCACTTTATAGATTTTCACCATATGCTCTTTCAATTTGAAAGCTTCGTCTAACATCGAATTCACACAAAGCCCATTAATCAAAGTTCCGAATGTCACGACATTTGGCTTAATCCCCTTCTTTTGCATTTCATCAAACACATTCAGAGCATTACCCATATCATTACTCTTACAATAAGCATTTATCAGTACATTATAAGTACACACATCCGGGCACACATATTTATCGATACCCACAAGAAATTCTCTCATTTTATCATATTCCCTGCAATTCAAAAGAGCGTCCAAAAGGGTATTCAAGGATTTCACAGTTCTTTGGCATCGAAAACAGGGTATTTCCGCGAATATACGAAGAGCTTTGTCCGGCAAGCGAGCACGGCCGTAGAACATAATGATGTTACAGAAAATGATTTCTTTGGGAATGAAACGAGTTTCGCGTTTTAACCTTTCGATAATTTGTTCCATTTCGTCGAACATTTTGGCTCGACCGAGCTTGGAGATGATGAGGTCGTAGGAGAGGACAGAGTAACGGAAGGGTTTAGGTTTATCAGGGTTAGGGTTAAGGAAGAGTTGGAGGGCGAGTTTGGGGTCTTTTTGGAGGCGGAGGAGAGAGGAGAGTCTGAAAGGTGAGACCACTTTGAGTTTCTCCATTTTCTTTGCTAACAACACTCAAAGTAACACTCAAGAGACAAGACTCTGAAGAAAGGTTGATGTGCATTGGGTTCCCGCCCGAAGTGGCAACGGTTTTTTTTTTGTTGTTGGGTTCCACAGTCGGGAATCCGGACCAGCCCACTCCATTAAATTCGATTAAAGACAAACCATGGACTATTATGTGGGCTACAAGCCCTTAACTTGGTTGGGTTGGAGTAAGAGAGGTTGGGATACACTGACGGTAGGATTCATTTATCATTTCACAAGTATAAATATGCTCAAATGATTTATTAATGGGTCTCAAATATCTTAAATGATTTATCACACCTCTTTTAAACATTGCAATAGATAGAAGTGAGTAGCTCTAACTTTTTTTTTTTTTGGTTTTGATTACTAATAAGAATTCAAATTTTAGTAATGGGAAGTGGGGTATGAGGGCTAGGATATGGATAGACCTACGCCATTAGGTTATCTCTTAATCTATTACGCTGAGTTTGATTGGTGGTAATAATGTATGGGATGGTAACAACATATGGGTGTGAAATTATCATTACACACCTAGTGTAGGATAAGTCATTCTTTAATATCAAGTGGTATTAACTATTATCAATCACCACTATTAATCGTCATCACCACAAACTTACCTCAAACTCTACCTTTATCAGCGTATTAGGGTTGGGTTAAGGTTCAAGTCTAAGACCTAGGCTAATAGTCCAAATCCTAAGGCCCAGGTCTGAGTTCATGGTCTCGGGGGTTGGGTATATGGTCGAGTTTGAGGGTAGGGATCCTAAGTCCAAGGTACGAGATTGGTCCCAAGGTCAAGATTTGGTATCTTGGGTTAAGAGCCCGAGCTCGAGGTTCTATTCTTAGGGTTAGGGTCTAGGTCCCAAGGTCAGGGTTTGGTATGGTTTTGATCCTGAGCTAAGGATCTGAGTCTTAAGGTTAGGGTCTATGTCCCAAGGTCAAGGTTTGGTATCTTGGGTTCAAAAATCTCGAGTTAGGGATTCTGAGTTCTTGTTTGAGAATTTGAGGTTAGGACGTTAAATGTAAATTACTTTGATGTCATGAAACCACCATGATGTTGGTTACGGTTGACAATGTTTGTTCACTAGGGATGTTAATGGGTCATAAGCTATATGGGATTTGTGTTATATTAAAGTTGATGGTGCAAACTAACGTGGGCGAACAGAGTGCGTGGGACCAAAGGTGAATCTAGGCTATCAACTTCATAACGACAGAGATGAAGTGTTTCTTAGAGGGTAAAATAATTTGCACAGTAATAATATAGTGGTTCACCGGCTCTAGAGCTCTGTTAATCCATTTTCTAATGGAGGCTCTTGCTCCTTTATTTTATCTCTTGATTTCTCGAATGTATTACCGTACAATGCATCATCTAATTAGGGTTTTTCTAGGGGTCTCCTTTCTTAATGAGGCGTTACATAGTATTTATAAGGTTGCTCCCTATTCTGTGGGATTTCAGCCGAAATCTTTGCCAATTATTTATGGATCCTCCTTGATTTTAGGAGAGAATCTTGGTTGGTTGAGAGTTTCATACATTTGGGCTCAATTTTCGCAGTCATCCAGTTGTTTCCTAGTTGGTTCTGCTACGACCTCTCTAAGGGGAGCTCTACCCCTAGTTCTCTGAGTTCTCCGTGTCTTTCCTGACCTCCTTTCTTGAGCTCACAACTAGGCCTTGTTTGAGGTATTATCAGTGCCCCTAGCCCCTGGTTCAAGCCGGCTTGGGCAGGGGTTGAACTATTTTTTTTAAACCTAGCTGGATCTACACGTGGCTGACCTTGGCTTGCACATGAGTGAGACTTTTTGACAATTTTCAGCAATCATGGCTTCCTCATTTTCTGTGCACATTCCAGCCCACGTCTCTCAAGCTTTAAATGCATAAACAGCTATTTGAACTGCCCTTTTCCACTGCTCAACTTCTTCGTTACTTCTCTCTTCTTGTGATTTTCTGACTTTCTGGTTTGGAGTTCTTTGATTCCTTGTTCAACATCGAGTTTTGTGGGTTCGATTTGAAGATTCGTATTGCCCCCTTTCTTCCATTTCACTCTAGGTTGCTGTTCGTTGCTCTTTCCTAACTAGGTACGCCTTTTTGTCCCTTTTTCACCTTTTCTCGTTTTGGATCCCTCAAATTCGAGGTGGCTATTGCATTTATGGGCTTTTCGGTTCTTTTACTTTTGGAATCGAAACTACTGCTTGTCTCCTCTCCCCCACTTCGTAGACTGGTCCTCTATCATGCAAATCCTTGCTGTTGGAAGCTACTGTGTTGGCCCTAGGGTTATCAGGGAGTGCTTAATCAGTATTCCTTCTCTCTATCATTCTTTCAATGTACCTTTCTCTTGTCCAGTCATGTTTACTGCTTCCAGAGCTACTCGCTCCTCTACTTCTCTCTTGGGGGAAAGGTCTGTCGAAGAGGACACTGATTTAGGAAATGTGGGCGAGGAAATCGATAATTTTTCCGGGGTAGATGTTGTCGATGCCGAGGAAAATATTGAGGATCACCCCCGTCGTCTTCTTTTGTGCCCCCTAATCCTGAAAAAGGTAAGAGCAAGGTGAGTGGGGTAGGAGTCTCTGACAGTGCAACGGGCATAGGGGCTGCCTTTAGACATACTGAGCTCGTAGGACCCAGTAAGGTTAACTCTTCTCTTATGAAAATTCTTAGTACTCATTACGATTTTCCTCTTGGTGTCTAGCCCTGGTGTCCAGATAAATACACCTCATATGTTGCTCAAGTTCATAAGAAAGTCTGTTTATTTGTTGCCGCTTTTGAGAATGACCTTCACTTCCCTATGTATCCCTTCATCAAGAGTGTTTTGCAACACTTCAACGTCTGCCCTGCTCAGCTCTCTCCTAATTTATGGGGTGTACTGGTGGGTCTTCTAGTTTTATTTAAAAAACATGGACTCAAGGTCCCCAGCCTTTGCTTGTGGATTTTTTAATGTCAAGCTCACCTCATCAGAGGGCTTCTTTTATATGTCTAAGCGAACCACGACTAAGCAAATCATTACTCACCTCCCGAGCTTCCATAAGGGTTGGAAGAAATAATTCTTTTTTATTGGAGGGCCCCAATTGGGAGTACAGTCCTGCTGACAGGACTGATACTATGGGTATCCCTAGAACTTGGTCGGCCCCTGATAACTTAGGTGAATCCTTGCTCACACTAATTTAGCTTTGGTTTGGAAATTATCAAGTGCCTTTTTGACCTTTGCTCTCCTTGTGTTGTTTTTCAGGCATTTGACCTAAGCTCAATGCTGAGGACGAGAGGGTGAAGCGAAAGTTAAAAAAGTGTAGTCTAGAGAAGTACTCCGAGCTCATCAAGCCCTGAGTTTTAGTGACACAAGGATTTAGTCCTCCTGAGGTTTCAATAGAAGCTCCGCTCCTTATCTCAGTTGTTAGACCTGAAAACATAGAAGGTAACACTTTCTGAGTTAGTTCCCTTGCCTTTCCTTCTTTTTTCTCTCTCCTGTTTAACTTGCTTGGTTCAAATCTCCCAGGCTCCTCCATAATGAAATCTACCCCTGAGGAACTCCAGGCTAAGGTTGACCTACTGAAGAAGAGTAGAAAAAATGGCAAAAGGAAGGCTGAGACCAGCTCTGAAGGCAGCCTCGTTGGTGGGGCTAAAGTGTAGAAACTGGGAGTGCCCTCTTCTTTGCCTTAAGCAAAGGAGGACAAACTCCCTCATCTCAATCTCTGGCCCCTTCTCCTCTTCAAGGGGCCCAGTTTGCCCCTAAAAAGGCTTCTGAGCCAGGGCTGGTTTCCCTCACCTCTTTTGACGGTGAAGGTGCCTTGGGGCTAATTATTGGAATTAAGCCAGACTTTGCACCCCCCCCTGGACCACCTGAGCAACCATCTCAGCTGCCTCTCTGAAGTCTCAAGGTCAAAAAGAGGGAGGACCAGGAGACTGATGAAGACTCATTCTTCGACAACGCTGAGTTGACTATTGGGGTCATTTCATCCATTCTCCTTGAATTCGATATTCGGAGGGCCTCTACCATATCCTATGAGGCCTCTTTCTGCTCAGCTCTCCAAGGAGCAGCCACTGTAAGTATTTTTACACTCGTTTTTAACTCGGCGCGGTTGAATTGTGCTGATCTATACCTGTTTTCTTTTTTGTCCACAGATGGCTTTCCATTTGAAGAACTTGATGAGCAGGGTCCGATCTTCGGAGGACTCTGCCAAAGCTTTGAAGACAGACGAGTTTAAGGTCACTGTGCTGACCTTTGACAATGAGAGCCTCAGAGCTCAGGTGCAAAAGCTCGAGGAGCAAATGGAGAAGCAGGCCTTTAACTACGAAGGCCTTCAAGCTGCTAAGGATAAGGTTAAGGAAATAGAGAAGAAGGTTAGGGATGAGCTAAGGATGACCAAGGAAGAGATGTTACTCAAAATCAATGCCTAGACCAAAGCTAGTCGGGGAAGCCTTTGATGCTCGGGGCTCCCTCGAGAGCCTTAGAAAGGAGTATGTTACCTTGACTGAGGCGAACGAAAGCTTATGTGATGAGCTCGAGGTGCAGAAGACAACTGTTAGGGAGAGGGATGACATAATAACCGAGCTGACGGATGATGTCACCACCAAGTGGGCCTCAGAATGGCTGGCCTTTCAGCGCAAAGCGGAGAAGGCCTACCCAAATCTCGACTTCGACTTTGCAATCCCCACTGAGGAGGAGACTGACTCAGAGGGTGATGATAATCCCTTGGCTCCTACCGCTTCTATTTGGGCTCTACAAGGCACTGAAATGTCCTCTCCTGTAGTTGCTCTTATTAATACTCCCCTCTCTGCTGACCTCGTGACTAGGGCCCTTGCCCAAGATTCGCCTATAGCTAGAATGGAGGCTCCTGGGACCAGCACCCTTGAGAATTCTGCTCCTCTACTATCTGGGTCCTTATCTTTTGAGCTGCCGGGCTTCGTTCATGTTATTGGAACTTCATCTACTGATCTGCAAGACCATTCACTTACTTTGTCTTCAAAACCTAGGATCTTTGGTTATAATTTCTGGTTTTGTTTTGTAC